GACATTCATTTGCAGAAGAACAGTGTTTCATTAAGCAGTAAGACAGGCCATAGACGGGCCGTTTATCGGCCGAACTTTCAGCCGATAAACGAAAAATCGGCTGGCCCCTTTGCTGATGCTGCCACCCATGTCCAAGAAAAACAGCCGTTTTTCACGGATTTTCCAGCATGGCTGATAAAAATAAATGAGGAGATCCGCGAAAAATGGCCGACAGGCTGGCCCCACTAACAGCGTGCTTATTGGCCAATTTTTCATGCGGATGAAAATTCGGCCGATAAACGACCCGTCTATGGCCTGCATAAGTCTGTAACCTTAGACTACATGCACACTGTGCAATTCGCTCCTGTGCATGAAATCCTGCTACCTTCAGCCTGTCAAACGCTACAGCTAAACGCTGTATGGACTGGTAGTCATGTGTAAGGCCTTATGCATGCAGGGATGTAGGGCTGGACACTGTACCCATGCCTCCAGACACACGTAAACGCCAGGTATTGATGCACGGGCTGAATGCCCAGTGTGTTTGAGGCCTTAAATTGACATCTTCAGCTTCTCCTTGTGAGTAAACACTCCCAGTCATTTCAGTGACCCTGTCCAGTACAACCCCCAGGAATGCTCACTCTATTGATGTGACTGGCAGTCTGTTGGTTGCCAGACCACCTCTGGAAAAAACTGCAGAAGAGAGGTGATGTGGTCTCTTCCTATGCCATGTTTGTACAAAAATGGCATAGGGAGAGAACATGGTGCGTTTACATTGTACAGTGTAAACGCACCAATACTTAGCACTTCAGGTGCACTGTCAGTGTCCTGTCATGAGGAACGCAGATGGGAGCATATTAGAGATATCAGGGATCTGTTTGGTCTTATGACAGTATTTCATTAAAAATAATCCCCAAAGCTGCGCTCAGTGCTTTCATAAGTCCACAGCAGCACTCATAACACAAAATACAATATATTCCAAATATACAAAACCAATTGTTGTGCTGTTAACCCTATTAATTAAAGTGTTACTAAACCCACAACAGTAAAATCAATCTGTATATGCAATAAAGCATGCCTGTTATACTCACTGTGGAACCTAAGGGGTTAATCCTCTGCATTGTGTAAAAAGGATGTTTGATCTTGACTTCTCTGAGCCTCTCCTTCTACTGTCCCCAATCCACCTTGTGATAGAACAGTCTTGGGGGCAAGCTGCACATGCTCAGTTTGGTGTGTATTGCTAGAGAGGTTTTTTTTTTCCCTTTCATTCTTGGAAGGGTGCATGTGATCAGCACTGGGCCAATCAGCACTGTCCAGACAGAGGGTCAGGCATCCTGCAGCCTCATAGGACAAGCAGGGGACAATTAAATCTTCTCCTACAAACTTTAAACCAGAGCTCTGCTGGACACTGGGATAGAAGTCACAAGACTGCTCTAACTGCTGATGAGAAAAGGTATTTAGCAGTTTATATTTGCTAAAATAATTGCATTTCCCTGTTCTGTGTACTGTGGGAGATCTGATATATTGAATGCAGGGTCCTGGGTTTAGTAACACTTAGGAGTGACAATGCATCCGTTTTAAATGTCCATATTCATAGCAGTGAATCCATGAAGTGAAAAATTATAGCCTGGAACATCCGTGAAATCAAGTGTACTTAAATATCCAAAATTAAACCCGGTGATTAGTGATAGCACCACCTGCGCACAGAGCCTCTTACCGAATTGTCAAATTATAAACTATAGATGGTCTGATGAAGCATGCAGATGCAATCTTGATTTTTGGATCATCTGGATCATATGAAATGCATATGCAATCAGAAATGCATATTATTTATTATTTATTTCAGGTACTTATATAGCACCGTCAGTTTACGCAGCGATATATAGATATAGATATATATAGATATAGATATAGATATATATATATATATATATATATATATATATATTGTACATTCACATCAGTCCCTAACCCTCAAGGAGCGTACAATCTATGGTCCCTAACTCACATTCATAAATACACATACTAGGGCCAATTTAGGCAGGAGATAATTCACCTACCAGCATGTCTTAGGTTTCCTCATGGTACTCAGGTTTCCTCCCACACTCCAGAGTACCCAGAGGAAACCCACACAGGCACAGGGAGAACATGCAAACTCCAGGCAGGAGGTGCCGTGGCTGAGATTCGAACCAACGACATATGGCACTGATATCTCCTCCTGGGCTGTATATGACTCGGCATGAAAGAATTAGATCTCCAATAGTGAAGTGCCATCAAAGATTTATTAAAACAAGCCAAAAATACCACTTAAAATATATCAATATATCAAACTTCACTGGAAAGATTCACTTTTTATTTGTCTCAGTTGACCACTGTCACCAGGAGACAGCATAAGGAAGTAATGGAAAATAAAAAATGTTGTTACCAGCACAGAAATAGGCGTAACATCTTTCTTTGGGGGACGCCTGTACTGCTGACAACTGTCTGAGGAAATTTCCCATCACTTTGGTAGACTTTGGGACTTCCTGTTAAAAGCAGAGGAGGAAAGGATGGGAAATCTCCCCAATAGGACACAGATGCCAAAAAAAAAACTTGACAGAAGCTTTTTTTTTTGGTACATGTCAAGGGGATAAAAACTGGCCAGGCAATTGGACCCACATCAACAAAGAGCGTGACCCATTGACACAAATGGGGTGATGCAGTGGTGCAGGATTTTCAAGGTTAAAACAGGTGGTGAGGATGGTGACCTATCACCTCTGCACCACCTGTCAAATGTAGTAGGTTGTTTTTCAGAGGGGCAGCAATGATGACCACATTTCTGAATAAGCCCTAATAAAAAAAAAGACCTGCGTCTTACCCTCAGTGGAAGGATTTTCCTAGGATTATGGAGTGAATTGTTGCCATTAAATGTTAGTCATGTTAAACCTGTTATGACCCATTGTGATGTTGGTTTTATTCGATGGCCACATTGCAGCCATAGCTATTGTTAGAAGGCTTGCTGTACAATGTGTATTTCTGTTTTATGGACATAAAAATTACAGGCAATATGTTGGCAATATTGGAGCGAGGAAGCTGGCAGTTAGCTGCGTGTAACATTTCTCATTTCCGCTACAAGTCGGGTCTGTTTTTTATCTTATGGCAGATTCTCAGACTTTTTTTTTTTTCCACACCATCAGCAAGTGATAGAACTGTCTGCAATGAAATCTGTTTCTTTTTCTTGTACTCAAAAAAATGTCATTTCTGGAAATATCACACTAGGCTTCAGAACATGGTTAGCTTAGCTTTCAGAATGTGACTAATAAGTGAAGCACAGCCTGTAAAGATTGGAAGTAAAGTCCTTCATACCCTGGAAAGTGTCATTACTGAAAAATACTTACTGTGATGCCAGTAGCTTGCAACATTCACTTGACCCATTGTTAAATGCATATTCAGTTAATCTTTTTTAATAATTTTAATGTGTTCCTAATTTGTGGCAGGGTGCTTAAAATAATCAGTGGTAAATTGGGTGATTATTTATAGTAGGCAAGGAAAGTAACCTTGTACTAGGAGTGTTGGGATAAAGCTGTTTGGAGAAATATATGTATGTAACATGTCATTTTAAAGTGGTTCTAAAGGTAGAAAGTTTTTCTACCTTAATGCAGTCCCTGTGTTAAGGTAAAAAATGTTTTGCCACTTGCTGTGCACTCCCCCTCCATATACTTACCCAAGTCCTGTATTGAACCAGCACTGCGCCCAGGTTCAGTTCTCTCTGGTCCCCCCACTCTTACAAGTTTGGCTGAGAGCAGAAGGTCCTGTCCATGCTGTCAATCATATCCTGTGAGCAGAGCAAGAGAGCAGGGATGAGCTGCGCTGTACTTGTCAATGGACATACAGCCCAGCTTGGGATCGAGCTATCACGCCTGCCCCATAGCAAGCCATTTTCTATTGGGGCTGACAGCAGAGTAGAAGCCAAGATTGCCAGAGGGGGACCCAAAAAAAGGCGGTTTGGGGCTGCTCTGTTCAGTATCATATTTACTATTTGAATTTAAAATTTCCGTTTAAAACTGCTGTTGGCTCCATGCACACTAGCATTTTTTAAGCTCCTAAAAGCAGTTATCAGCACTTTTTTTTTTTTTTGCTCCTAGAAGCTAAATAGTGCTATCCTATGTGTCAATGCTTCATTGTTTTAGGAACAGAGAAACAAATTTGGGGAGCATTTTTTCCAGCAGAAAAAAACACTAAGTGCTCCTAACTGCTTTTTTTCTATTTTTTTTCCTCTACATTTACTGTAAAAATGCTAATAAATCGCCAACGCTCCTCTACTAAAACACGCTATTACCAGCGTTTTTTTTATCCAGCGTTTCTTCCAGCTTTTTTTTTTTATTTTTAGATTAAAAAAAAAAAAAAAAAACTCTAGTGTGTATGGAGCCTTAAGCTTTTGGAAGGTAATGTTTCATAATCCTTTTCGGACTGGTAATACAGGGAAGTCAGCCAAAGGTATATTTAACAAACATTGTATGCATTTCAGAATTTTTATTTTATGCATTTTATTATTTCTTTATTTTTTTTATATAGTAGGCATTAGTGCTGTGACATCATTTTGAAGGCTGCATAATATTTTGATCTTATGAATATATAGATGGATAGCTACAAAAATGAACTTTGAAAGTGGAATGCTATTAAACCCCATGTTGGTAGGCACTGTAAAAGTCAGTCTTTGGTAGGCACTAGTAAGATTGACCTATCCTCTGCATGAGGGTCTTTGGCAACCCATTGGGTATATTGTGCTCTCCATTGCAGCCATTGAAATCTTGGCATGGTTTTAGTCTTAATTTTTGTGATCCTTGACCACCAATTGGCCAATAAAAAAATAAAAACTTGAGTTTAGCCTGTGAAGGTAGAAAATAGAAGACACAGCCATTATTATTCCAGGGTATGTTTTCGTTGAGAATTGAAAAATGTGGTAATTAGAACTTTTATTTATATATATATATATATATATCTTTGCGGTTCTATCTGACATACAGTGTATGTTTATTTTACAGGAAAGACCAGAATTTGCTATCCCCTGTTAATTGCTGGTATTTACTGCTGAACCAAGTGAGAAGAGAAAGCAAAGATCATGCAACGCTAAGTGATATCTACCTGAACAATGTTATAATGCGCTTTATGCAGATAAGTGAGGATTCAACTAGGATGTTCAAAAAGGTACGTGTCATTCATAGATATACCAGCTCATTTCTGTGTTTGTTGTATGCTTCTATATATGCTTATATAGCAAACAAATTAGAATTTAATATTTCTATTAACTTTTTCTGGATGGTCATGAAGTCTGTTTTGTGAAGGGTAAACAGCGGATTGGTTAGAATTGTGCACATCAGTGGCATTGGCTGACCTTTTGTCCAGTATAGCAGAAAGTGGTACATGCAGTTTTGGCTGACAGTGACCCCTGTTCATACACTATCCTAGCTTGTTTCCTGCTTCCTGTGTCTTTATCACTCTTTATCTTTATCTTTTCAGGCTTCAGAAAAAAAATTAGCATTTAACCGTTAGTGTGGGAGGAACCCCATTTTAAGGGTAACTTCTCATTTTACCCAAAGTTCAGATTTAAAGAGAAATTTGGTCAAACTTTATTTTTATGCCTTTCTTTTCGGTTAAAGCAGTGGTCTCCAAACCGTGGCCTGGGGGCTGGATGTGGCCCTTTGCTTGCTTTTATCTGGCCCCTGGGGCAATTTTCCTCCCACTGATACAAGACACTATTCCTCCTATTGATACCAGCAATGGGCATAATTCCTGCTACTGACGACAACAACCATGCACTATTCCTCTCATTGGCACCAACGATGAGGCACTTTTCCTCCCACTGACATCAATGATGGGGCTCAATTCCTGCCATTGACACCAATCATGGAATACTTTTCCTTCCACTGACACCAATCATGGAACACTTTTCCTTCCACTGACACCAACAACGATACGGCACTATTCCTCCCACTGACCCCAACAATGGGGCGCTATTCCTCCCAGTGATGCCGACGATGGGGCGCTATTCCTCCCAGTGATGCCGACGATGGGGCGCTATTCCTTCCAGTGATGCCGACGATGGGGCGCTATTCCTCCCAGTGATGCCGACGATGGGGCGCTATTCCTCCCAGTGATGCCGACGATGGGGCGCTATTCCTCCCAGTGATGCCGACGATGGGGCGCTATTCCTCCCAGTGATGCCGACGATGGGGCGCTATTCCTCCCAGTGATGCCGACGATGGGGCGCTATTCCTCCCAGTGATGCCGACGATGGGGCGCTATTCCTCCCAGTGATGACGACGATGGGGCGCTATTCCTCCCAGTGATGACGACGATGGGGCGCTATTCCTCCCAGTGATGACGACGATGGGGCGCTATTCCTCCCAGTGATGACGACGATGGGGCGCTATTCCTCCCAGTGATGACGACGATAGGGCGCTATTCCTCCCAGTGATGATGACGATGGGGTGCATTGTTTACTCCCAGTGATGCCAGGACAATTTCTGATCCTAATGACCACCCACACCCCAGCCTGTCACTTCAGTTCTAGATGAGCTGAGTGGGGTGCAATGACTGAACCCAGGTTCACACTGATGCGGTGCGGCACATCGCATGTGATTCTCACAGGAACCGCTCTGCATTCCTGTGCAAATCACATGCGATTTCTGTGCAGTGCAATTTGAACCATACATTTTGAATGTCTCGGAATGCTCCGCATCTGCACCAAATAGTGCAGAACCCTTTTATGGGGTTCGCATGAGTATTCACACCCATTCTATCCAATTCTGCACATCGCACTGTGTTTTGCGAACCAGTTCCAGGGTGTTAACTTTAACATACACACCCACAGTGGTTCCCATGAACTGGGTGCGATCATGTTGTGGTGCGGAAATCGCAGAGAAACCGGTGTGAATTCCGCAACGCATCAGTGTGAACCCAGGCTGACAGTCACTGTTCTCTGCTGTCAGCAGACTAAAGCTGGCCATACATAGATTGAAATTCCAGCCAGTTCAGCAGGAACTGTCCAATTTTCAATCCATGTATGGCTGTTCCCTTATATAAGAAGTTGATCTATTGATTTTTCATGGAGAGGTTTGTTGGTATATTTTTGCTCTGATTTGGTGTATTCTGACAGTGGGAGAGTTCAACTGTCAGAATACAATGAAACGGCGGGAAGGATTTCCCCATTCACATTGAATGTGTGAATGGGGAAATTGGTTTAGCCATGTATACCCTGCTTAGGAGCTAAGCAATCAGCAGTCACTGTGGTCTGTCAGCTCTCGATCTTAGAGCCTGGAATTGGACAGACCACACGGCCATGTTATTCATTCATAGTTTTCTGTGTCACAGTTGACAGATTGTAGTTCTGAATGAACTGAGAGGGCCCTTATGAGCGACCTTGTAGTCCACTCAAAAACGTTATAGCTTTGATACTCGACAGCCCACATGCAGGTATGGGTTAAAAGTTGCAGGGCTTGTCTGCAGAAGCCTGTCATAGTACCCATGATCCACTGATCATGAGTTCAATGTTTTGAGGCTCCTGCAGAAAAAAAATCATAAATTCACATTTTATTTCTACAAAATATGTGCATTTATTATTTTTCTTAAAAGGTGAACTTATCCTTTTAAAGCTGGACTCTAGGAATTCAGCCAATCTATAAAATGTGCTGGCATATTATGAGTTGAGTCCAACAAGGTTCATGCCACCTGGTGGACCTATCTCATGTCTGATAGGATTATGGAGCTCTAGGAGCACAGCTATTGCTACACTCCTGGAGCTCTGAAAGGAGAGATGCTGCCTTCTCACACGCAGCATCTCCGCTCGCCCCCTTCCCTCTGCTTCACATTCAAGAGCCTCTGTGATTTGTGAGTGAATTCACATGACACAAACTGCTCCATGATTGGGCAGAAGGAGGGAAGGGCTGGGCACAGTTGCTGCATGTGACTCTGCAGGTCCTGGAGCTGAGACCAGAAGACCTGGTGTTGGCATGCAGGAAGTATAGCTCCTAGTGATCTAAAAAAAATGGCAGTTGTAAATTAGAGAGAAGTCCACGAGGTAGCATGTACTTTGTTGGACTTAACCCCTAATAATCCAGAACATTTTCCAAAGTGGTAGGATTTCTGGAGTTCAGCTTTAAAGCAGGCACTGCTGCCTTTCGATTTGTTCTTTCTACACGTTTAAGGCTCACTGGTCTATGAAAAGCTTTTGGCAGTGGATTGCTTATTAGAGTGCTGTACAGGAGTGAGTCATAGAAGCATGTTTTCAATCGTTTTATCTGTGTATTCAAGCTGCAGGTGTTTTTGCTTTAGCCCTGAACTGCACTAGGGGGGGGGAGACCAGTTCCTATAGGCTAATAAAAACCGCTTGATTGATTTAAGCATTTTCAGGCATTTCCAAGTCTGAGGGGCCAAAAACACCCAAATCTGCCTCAAGAGTAGTTTTTGGTGCTTCGGGCGTATGAGCACTCATATGTGAATAGCCACCATTGAAATGCAAGAGATTTAAATTAATACAAATGTTTTAATGAAAATATATTAGTGTACGTGCAAGAATTTCTAATATGTAGTCTTTGAAAAGCTTCCTGCATAAATAAATGATGGTGAAATCTTTAGACTCCCCATCCCCCCCATCATCTTTTAGCCAGAAGGGACAGGCTTGGCTTGAGCTTTTCTGCACTCATGGACTTAGTCTCTTCAATGTTCATCTAACATGGAGGTCTGATGATAAACTGTCATGACCACCCAGTGCTGCTTACAAAGTTCACTCTTTATTAATTAACAAAATGTGAAACTCCTATAGGAATGCTCTGCTGTTCGATCCCTTTATTGTATGCCACATCAAAGAGTATATTGGTGCAATGTTTATGAAAATTGACTAGAACAGCTGCTTTAGAAAATGGTGCCCCTCATATTTATTTGCTTAAACTTCATTTTCAGTTTCTAATTTAAAGCTGAAGTGACCTCCTTTCAAGTAAATTAGCTTGTTTTTCTTCATCACACACGTGCGTAGACATGCATTCAGATGAGCGTAGCAATGCACCCTCCAGGCTCAAATTATAGGGTTTCCAGGGATGTAGCTTCCTTGGAATTCATTCCCTTCTTCCAGCATCTTGTTTGTATCTGTCATCTCTTGCCACTGGTGAAGTGAAAGGCTGTGTTGATTGGAACACTGTGCTCCACTTATTCCCAAAAGGCCAGCTTGTCTTGTGAATGCCTAAGTTTCTTTGCCCAGTGTTTCATGGAGTGGCGGAAATTACCAGCAGTGTGCCCAAAAATGGATTCCTGATATCCATGCTGTGCTTTGGGGCTAATTGTGCCAAGCATGCCTAAGTAGGCTTTTTTTCATTTTCCTGAGTCTTTGTGTCTTTGTTTAACAAACAGGTCATTAATCACAATGATTGGTTATTTGCTACCTTTGAAAATCGAGTATTAGCCCTTTAATTAGGAAGTGAAAACAGGTTTTGTTCTCTGCTTAATATGCGCTCATATTTCTCTTCCAAAGAACGTGGACAAAGGAGGATTACTTTCTACAGAGTCAACCTACTAAAGTTTATTTTGACAGCTGTTATTGGTTTAACTGTAATTTTATATCTCAAATCCAGGCAGCTAAAACAATACCAATGTGTGCATGTGTTCATTAAAAATCATTAAAGCATATCCAAGAACAAAAACTGAATGTATCACAGCCTACCTTTTCTTTGATGTGGTGGCTGAATTTGTTTTCTTTTCTTCACACTTTTTCTTCTTTATTTTTAAGTTCAGACTTCCTATCCTAGGCTGACCATCGTCCTGTGTCTAGGAGGAGCAGCATTGGAAGGGAGTGTTGTCAGAACCTTCCCTTTCTATAGCATAGGGGGAGGTCTTTTGTAATAAACAGAGATGGCTGAGAACAATGCTGACTGACAACTGTCCAAAGAAGGAGAGCACAGGAAATTATCAGATTTCTGGCTGAATGAACAGCTTTTTTTTTTTTTTTTTTTTTTAAATCGTTCTAAGAAAATGCTTTAAATTTTGATTTTAACAGGTCATAAGGGAGCAAATAAGAGAAATGTATTTTTAGTTTACATGCACTTTAAGTGTGTATAAACTAATGATATTACATATTGTGCAAATACCTGAATTTGGACTTGGAATCAGCCTCTTGCAATCCTCTGTACAGCAGAGAAATGTCTGGAAGAAGGGGA